AGGTGGAAAACACCCCAGCCTTGGGCTGCAACTGCCCTGTTTAAGCAATTTGTCCTGAGTTGGCACTCTCAGTTGGGTTCCGCCAGAACCGCTTTGTCACACCTGGCACAGCCTGACCCCAGGCTCCAGGGCAGCAAATGTCGCTTAAAGTGCCCAGTGCCCTGCCCGTGCCCGTGGGGGGCCGCGCACAGCTCAGCGAAATCCGGAGGCTCTGACCCCGCACCTCCGTCCCCAAGTCCTCGAGGCCCCGGCAGGCGCTGCCACCCACAGCCACCGACTATAAAAGAGCCCATTCGCCCCGGTGCTGGCCTGTCGCCCCACCAGCCTCCCGTCCCCGCGCTGCCCCGGGGCTGGGGCGCCCACACTCACCACCTCCTCCGTCCCGTTCCTGCCTGGCTGCCAGCTGTGTGTGTCGTTACTGAACTGGACTTTGTAGGAGGTCACCCAGTCGTAACTACATGGGGAAGAGGGGGAGAGAGAATCAGCGGTGGGGGTCAGTCACCAGCACTGAGGGGTTTATAGGGACCCTGGTCCTCTTCACTGATAGCCCCACAAGAGCTGTCCGAGAGCCTAGATATCACGATGAGGGGCTCGCTGACCCAGCCAGTGGCTGCGGCCCCAGATCCATCACCCCGCGCTCTCCCCTCCCCTTCACTAGCTGCTTACGTCCAGATGGAGTTCAGGCCCTGTGTGATGATGCCGGTGAAACGGGTCGGCCGCCGGGCATCGATCTCCAGCCACTGGTCCCGGTCCTCGTGGCCGGCACACCAGCCTCCGTCGTAGAAGTCACCGTCGTGAATCCCGGACTGCGGCGGGGGGGAACAGAGATCGGCGGGAGGTCACTGTGGGGGCAGCCGCGGAGCGTGGGAAGCTGTGCGCTGGGAGTTCCCTTGCCAGTGCCCCGGGGAGCTGGGCTCCTTGGGGCTCCCTGCGGCAGGTACTGCCCCGCCCGAGATAGCGAGCGCTACTGCGAACAGGTAACCCAGCCCGAGCCGGCCCTGTGGCTCATCGCCCCCCCAGAACTGCGGGGAAATTCACCAGCTCTGCGCAGGTCTGACTAGTCTGAGCGACTTGGGCCAGACGTCACGAGCGCTCCCCCACATCAGGGGCGCAGGTCAGCGGGAGCCACCATGCTACCGGGAACGGGGCAGCTTCCCACCCAAAATCCTCACATCCTGGCTAGAAAACAGAGCCCTGGTTTCAGTGGGGAAATCCACGGAGCTGTGCAGAAATCCCCCCAACCCTCCCCGCAGAAACGGGCCCAGTTCTCCGGCTCTGAACGAAATGGAAAGGCGGGGGGTGGGGGGGGCTGCCGGGTCGTTATGTACATTTCAGTGCCCGATGGCGGCGCCCCCTACTGGGGAGGGGAAATGCTCAGCAGGACCCTTTAGTCAGCTGCCGCGGGAGGTTTCTCACCCTCCAGTGGAAGACGGCGCAGTGAAGAGGCTAGTGTGGGGGACGGATGGGGTGACCCTGCTGGGGGGGGGAGAGAATTAGGTGAGGGGGCTGGGGCTGCAGCCAGGAGCCGTCCTCTTTGGAGCTGTCAGGATGGCACCCCAGAGCCCCTGGAGGGAGACGACGCCCAGCTGGTGGCCAGGTAACTGCCATGGGGGCGGGGAGAGGCCTCGCTCTGAAGGAAAGGGCTCCCCCCTCCCCCCGGCACAGCACACCTGTATATTGAGGCGTCCCCGGTGGGCACCCAGTCCGTAGCGCTTGATGCTGGAGGCTCGTAGCTGGAAGTCCGACACCCTCAGAGACTCCAGCCCCAGCGGGGGACATTCTGGTGGGAGGCCGAAGGGGGAAAGGAAAGAAAATCAGCTTAAAGAAAAGCCAGAGGGGCCTTGGTGCAACTCCAGTGGCCTGCAAACAAACCTCTCCTCCCTGGAGCCTCGGCCAGCAACAGGGGCAGGAGGAGAGGGAGGCCGGGCCAGGAGCCGCTCCCCCTGGAATCCCATCCCCTGAACAATGGGGAGACCCCACCCAGGGGCAGACCAGCCGGGCTGGGCACCCTGGGGTGTCAGGGACGATCTCTCTCTTCTCTCACTGGCTGGCGTCAAGTGGGATGTGATGTCCAGGGGCCCATGGTCTGGGTGACAGCCAGTACCAAATCTGGCTGGACCCTGCCGCCCTCTGCACTTAGCATCAGCCGGGCCCCAGTGAGCCCTGCTCAGAGCCCTCCCCGGCACTGACTGCAAACTCCCCCAGACGTACCCGCGGGGCAGAGCTCCGCACTCCCAGCTCCCTGTCCTCTGTGCTGCCCTAGGCCCGGGCGGTACGGGGTATCCCCTGCGGCCTATTCTCCAGTGCCGTAGTGGGTCTAGGGGTAAGTGCTCAGCAATGGGGGTTACCCCGCAGCCTGAGAGATGGAAGTATTTCCTCCTGTTTCCCTTTGCTTGGTTTCAGTGTGTTTGATGAGCTCTTTCTCGGAGCCGATACAGAGCCCAGGGCCCGGTTTGCTGCTACGGGGCGCTGGGCTGCTGGCTTGGAGACCTCACGTCTTGGCTGTCCCAGAGGCTGCAGGCAGCACAGACAGTGCGACCATCATCAGCAGGGAATGAGTCTAGGGGCTCACGCATCTACCCCCAGAGCCAGAGCCGAGAGACTTCAGTACCGGAGCCAGCCGTGCAGGGACACAGGCCGTCGCTAACGCCCCCGGGCTAACCCCAGCGTTCCAGCCAATTCCAGCCTGGCCGGTTACATTCAGCTTTCCTGATTCCCCCAGCAGTTTAAACCGCATCCGGCATTCCTCCTCGCTGCCTGGCCTACAGTACTGCAGGGTTACTCGGCCTATTAAGCAGCAGCCGTGCCCCCCCCCCAGAGGTGGCTGCAGCATTTCACGGCTGGGGGGAGTGCAGGCACAGCTGTTTGCACCACCCAGAAGGCCGTGTTAGTGCTAGCGACGGGAATTATTGATTGTTACACTGGGCACAAAGTCCGGGGGGATCCCCTGGATCCAGGGGGCTGCACACAGCCGTGAGGCCAGCCTGCTTCAGTTCCCCCCCGGCCAGGACTCAGAACAAGCTCCCGGGTGGAGTCTTCCCCGGCTCCCCACCCCAGGAAGAGCGCAGCACACTCAGCCCAGCCTGGAGCCAAACACACTGCTGGAGACCCAAGCGCTGCCGGAGATCAGGCCAGCGGATACCAGAGAACAACGGAGAGCTGAAACCACAACCACAGCCTGTGAGGATGAGTCAAAGAGCCATCATATCCCGGCGCAATCCCAGGGGGTCTGGGCGGGGGATGGGGCCAGGCCGGTCGCAGCTGTTCCCCTGTGGAACCTCCCGCTGCAGGCTGGGCTTGGCCCTGCGGGGGAGGCAGGTAACTGCACTGCTCTGTGGCGCCCCCTCTGGTCGTTGCTCAGAGGGCGGGGGGTAAAAGGGGAAGTCCTGGGAACTCCCTGGCACCCAGACTCACTGATGGCGCCCTGGAGATGCTGGGAAGAGAGGGGATCCCGCAGGGTGACTCGGACACAAACCTCTCCCGCCCCCCACTAGTGCTACAGCCCAAGCATGGGAGCCAGCAGGCCCTGCAATGGGAGAGCCGCGCCGGGCCAGCCACAGGCTGGGAGTGGCTCTCACGAGGTCTTTGCCCAGCGGGGTCATACACCCTCCCTCCCCCACAGCTGCGGCAGGGCCAATGCCACCCGGGCTCTTTCACCGCCTCCCTGGGGCTGCCCTGGGCAC